GTGATAATCTTATGGGTTCCCTGAACCCACTGGATCTAAAATCTGAGGAATATCATAAAAGTCTCGATGCACTAGCACACATTAGAGGACCTGCAAGGATTCATGCCACTGAGAGAGAGTCTAGGCTGCAGTGCTGAGAATACCAGCTCTACCGGCTTCTGTAACATTCCTGGCTGAGAATGAGACAAACGAAGTTGGGAAAGATGGATTGGGACTTTACCTTTAAAAATACATACCATTTCTTTGGGTTTTACGCCAATTTTGCATTACTTTTTGATACATTAATGTCTTAAACTTTGATGAAGGACTCTGGCTGTGCCCCAGAAATGTATAAGAGGATAGGGTTAATGTTCAAATATGGGAGCATCTCTGGTTGGTATATCAACTACTGGAACATCTCCCAGAGCCAAGGGGCATAAGTTTAGAAAACGCCAGTCACCGAGATGATTAGTCAGGACAGATTAGTGTGTGCCAGTAAACAAATGAACAGTGAAATCACACTGGCTTAATATAGTTTTTAAAACATTGTCTCCAATTCTTGTCACAGAGCATCATAAAGCGGGGGGGGGTGGCTCTTTTCAGGGCCCTGGCTCCTGTCTCAAGTGCCTCCCTTCTGAAAACACAGTCACTGGCTGGAGTCAACAGAGTGATTTTTGGGAGCATTCTCAGAAAGCAAACAGTGATTTTGGGAAGAATGGTCTTAAAAAAAAAGAACAGGCAAGGCTCCAAGAGCTAGTCGTCCACACTGGGGGTCAGCCACACTGACCACAGGATGAAGGAGAAGCCAGTGAGTTAGAGATTAAAAACTGAGACAATTAACCAGGAACATTTATTCTCAACTCCAGCTGTTTCCTCCCAAGTGAGGGGAATGCCATTAGCGTAACAATTCTAGGTTCTCTGTGCCTCCACATTTACGCTCCCCCATGGGCAAAGTAATGAGTTGCTTTACAGTGTTCAGAGGAGAACTTGGCCTATTCATTGTCTCTCGCTACTCCTGCCATCCCATCTGTCATGCTGCAAATTTCCTAGGTGCAAGACTCCTGTGACCAGGTAGGTGAGCTGAATTCTGCCTTCAGCATTAGAAAACTGAATATGGCCATAGAGATCTAGTTTTCCCTGTCGTATACTATTTGTTTCCTTTACAGAATTTTTATAACTGTCTTCACAGAGGTCTTACAAATTTTGTGGTAGGATTTTTGTTTTTTTGATACCAGGGATCAAACTCAGGACCTTGCGCTTGTGAGGCAGGCCCAGTGCTGATGAACTAAATCCCCTGCCCTGTGGTAGGTTTAGTATTACTTATTTTATTTTTGAGACAGGGTCTCACTATGTAGAGTCGGACCTGGAACTCACTATGTAGCCCCAGCTGGTCTCAAACTCACAATGATCCTCCTGCCTCAGCCTCCCGAGTGCTGGGATTACAGGAGTGCACCACCACGCCCAGCTGTATTAGTTATTTTATGAATTATGTTGATCTAGTGATTAGGAATTTTCTCTTCATGACATTTTCCAGTTGGTTACTGTTGACATAGGAATTCCTTCACACTTGGTTTGGATCTAAAATGTCCCCTACAAGGCTCAGGTTCAGAGGTGAGGATTTCGGAAGGTGATAGGTGAGTTAATTTATTAGCCGATTCATAATTTGATGACATTCTTGGTCTTACAAAATTCCTACTTTTGCACTGGGGCAGGACAAAAATATCGTGAATCCTAATTAGTAGATAAGTGGCAGCCAACGGGTATTCGTTCTGGGATGGCGTCATTGAGGAGGCGTCCTTCGAGCACTTGCCTGGGGACTGGTACAGGTCCAGGTAGTCTAGGAGCTATTTCCAGGGTGACACCACCAAGTGAGGGGAGCAGTCAAGGGTTAGCAGTGATTACCCGCATCCTTTCTGCTGCTATCTCCCCACCTCCTTAACCCTACTTTCCAGCTGTCCAGTCTTCCTTTGGCTACCTCACTTACTGTTAGGGATTATTCCTGGATGTCCCTGCAAAGCCTCACGATCCAAGGTGGGGCTTTTAGAAGGTGATTGGTCGATGGGGACATGGCGCTGACTGCCATTAGGAGGCGGGGCCTGGCGGAAGGGGCAGTCCTGGGGGCGTGGCCTGGGAGGGTTTATCTCCTCCCCAGTTCCTCCCCCTCTCTCTGCTTCCTGTTCCCCATGCCTTGAGCAACTTTTCTCTGCCAGACCCTTCCACCATGCTGTCCAGTCTTGGAGCCAGCCGGCTATGGACTAAAATCCTGAGCCAAAATAAACTTCTCCTTTAAGTTGTAGGTGTCAGTGTCAGGGATCATATCTTGAAGAAAGTGACTAAGACACCTGCCTATGGAGGTTTTTAATTTCCAAAACCTGTAATTATCATTATCTCACTTCCTTCTGATGTCAATTAGATTTATATCATAGGATTCTTTTTTTTTTCTGGTACCAGGGGTTGAACTCGGGTCCTTGCACTTGCGAGGCAGGCGGCAGAACCACTGAGCTAAATCCCCGGCCCCCGTATCATAGGATTCTGTTGCTTTCTTTCTTCACAAAAATTACCTCCTTCTTCTGACTAATATTCCCATAGTTCTTGAGTTTTCCTTGTGATTTTATTTCTGATGAAGGGCGTTCCTGTTCACTTAGTTTGTCCACCATCAATGGGCCAGGACATGCAGTAGAGAGATCCGTGCCCACGGGTCATCTTCACAAAGGTCTGGCTTCCTGTGTCCTCCTCCTGCTGGCCACCTGTGCCGGTTTCGGCCTCGGCCACAGCCAGGTGGTGCTGCTCCTGCTCCTCTCCCTGACAAATGCCTCCGGCCCCAGCCACCTCTCCTGCCTCTCTGCAGCCGGGCCACATCCTGGGTGGTGGTGGGGGGCTCTTTGCTTCCTGTGAGTGGTGGCCCCTCCATATTTGTCTCTCCCCTGCCCCATCCTTTCCTCCACTTTTTCAGGAATGTCTCGGAATAATTTTTGTATTAACATATGTTTGTAATAAATAATAACTGCAGTCATCTTTGGGCACTACATCATATCACATCACATCTTAGTCATTTCTACTCCTTTTCCTTCCCAGATCCCCTACCAATCTCTACAGACCCTGCTTCCCCATCTCCTACCATTTCCATTTTATTTTTCCCTTTAAATTATTTACACTTTGGGTCTGTCATATTAGAGAAACTATGCAATATTTCATCTTCTGTGTATGATTTATTTCACTTAGCATTGTGATTTCAATGTGCATCTATTTCCTACAAATGACTCAGACATATCCTTCTTTATGGCAGAGTAGTACTCCATGAGAGATAAATACATTTTCTTTATCCATTCATCTGTTAATGGACATATGAGCTACTTCCAAGATTTAGCTAATATGAATTGTGTTGCACATATGGTTGTGTGTGGATCACTGAAATATGATAGCATCTGCTGTTGCTGCTTCTTCTTTTCTTCTCCTTCTCCTTCTCCTTCTTCTTTTTGGTTTTTTTGTACCGCAGATTGAGCTCAGGACCTTGTGCTTTCGAGGCAGGTGGCAGAACCAGTGAGCTAAAGCCCTGGCCCAACCTTCATTTTTATAAAGCTTTCAAATCTTGCTTTCTGTTATGCTAGGGAGACTTTAAGGAAGTGGCCCCCAGCTCAGTGGCCATAATATTTCCTCTCAAAATGATGTGATTAACGTCCACCACCAAAGAGAAATATGTGAATTGCAGTTTTATTTATAAAACTGGAACACACAAGAGTATTGGTTTGGGTGTTTTTTCCAAGTTAAAATTAACCAATAAAATGCAAAGAATTCTATTTACAAAAGACACATTTAACTAAAGAAGGTCAGTTTTTATTCCAAAAGAGGAACAACATACACAAAGAGGTCACTTTATAAACACTGATCTAACTTTTACACTTGTCAACTTTTTTCCTTGGGGGAGGGAAAGACTGACGTTCATTCTTTGGCCTCATTTTTCAGAAGTTTCTTCCTGGATCACTGTCCACTAGAGTGCTTATAAACGTCCGAGGTGGGCACGGAAGGATCCGTTTGGCTGATGCAGTCTTAAACATCTCTACACTTTTCCTTCCGCGGTGGGCCACTTTCCGGGCAATGTGGTGGCCGGCAGAGATCCGAGCAGGGGAGCCCAGAAACCAGAGGTTTGGGTTGTGTTTCTGCATTCTGTCCAGCTGTGCCCCCTCCCCAATTTATCCTTGAAATGGGCAGTAACGGCGCCTGACCGGTAGGTGGCGCTCTGACGGGCGGGTTTAAGCAGCAGGTTGCTGGCTGGGGAAGCGAATTCCGGGCGCTGCAAGTCCGCCTCCGCGGGGACTCGCTCCCCAGGAGCTTCGCGTGCACAGACAGGCTGCGGAAGGGACTGAACACTGAGCGTCTATAAATCACAGTCATCCTCTGGTCCTCCACGCTTCCTGCCGCTCTGGGTGCTTTTATTTTCTTCTCTCTCGTAAGAGATCTGGCTCTTTTTCTTTCCTTTGTAAGTCCAATTCCAGGTCAACCTCTACCCCGCTACTTTCCTCCTTACCGTCCTAAAGGAAGCTTTCAGTGTGGCCCTTCCCGGGTGCAGGTCTGGGTGGCGCCGGCCGGGG